CCAAGAAAGTATCCATCTGGATATGATAAACGCAAGAAAAAAAGAAAAATTGAACAATTTGTCCAAACTCAAAGTGGAGCGCTTGATAAATTTATTGTTAGAGAAACACAAGATTTAGTTGAAAATTCAATTGAAAATGATAATATTAATGATTTGGGCCTGAATGAGTATGCGAATGAAAATTTGAATCATAATGAAAATGATAATGAAAATGAGAATCAAAATGAAAATGAAAATCATAATGAAAATGATAATGAAAATGAGAATCAAAATGAAAATAAAAATAAAAATGAAAGTAAAAATGAGAATCTGAATCAAAATGAAATTGATATTGACAATGAAAATGAAAATGAGAATGAAAATATTTTAGACAATGAACAACCTAATCAGTCCATGCTCATGAATTTGAATATTTATGATCCAAGAACTTGGGATAATTTGGACACAAAATCTAGAGATATATTAGTGGAAAATGGCCCTATAAGAGATCTATTAGTCGAAAAAGGTCCTAAAGATAAATTAGGAAGATGTTTTTCTTCGGCATTTTACACTAGACATTTATCAAATGGAGAGAAATGTGATAGGGAATGGTTAGTTTATTCAAAGGATATCGATAAAGTATTCTGTTTTTGTTGTAAATTGTTTAAAAATGGTTTTAAGAAAAGTTCTTTAATAAATGAAGGATTTAATGATTGGATGCATCTTAGTGTTAGGCTTAAAGAACATGAAACAACTAATGAGCACATCATTAACATGAGTACTTGGCTTGATTTACGCATAAGATTAAAGAATAATAAAACAATCGATAAAAATATTCAAGAGCAAATTAATAAAGAGAAGGAACATTGGAAGAAAGTATTACAAAGAATAATTTCTGTTGTTAAATATCTTGCTAAACATAACTTGGCATTTCGAGGAACAAATGAGAGAATTTATCAAAATAATAATGAAAATTTTTTAGGCCTAATTGAAATGATTACAAAATAGGATCCGGTAATGCAAGAACATGTTCGACGTATTGACCATGGTGAAATTCATTATCATTATCTTGGTCATAGCATTCAAAATGAATTGATAAGTATGTTAGCTTCTAAAATCAAATGTGCAATAGTTCAAAAAATTAAAGAAGCTAAATATTTTTCAGTAATACTTGATTGCACTCCGGATGCTAGTCACCAAGAACAAATGACTTTAATATTACGATGTGTCGATATTTCTACAAGCCCGATAAAAATAGAAGAATTTTTTATAGAATTTTTAAAAGTAAATGATACATCTGGACAAGGACTTTTTGAAGAATTGCAAAATATGCTAAAAGCTCTTAATCTTGATATTGATAATGTACGAGGTCAAGGGTATGATAATGGGTCTAATATGAAAGGGAGACACCAAGGTGTACAAAAAAAAGTACTTGAAATAAATCCTAGAGCATTATACACGCCTTGTGGTTGTCATAGTCTTAATTTAACACTTTGTGACATGGCAAATTGTTGTGGTAAAGCAAAAGACTTTTTTGGAGTGATACAACGCATTTATACATTATTTTCTCACTCAACAAAGCGATGGCAAATTTTGATAAATAATGTAAAAGGTTTAACTGTGAAGCCATTGTCAACTACACGTTGGGAAAGCCATATTGAAAGCGTTAAAGCAATTAGATTCCAAACGTTTGAAATAAGAGAAGCACTACTTCAGTTAGCAGAAACTGATAATGACTCCAAAATAAGAAGTGAAGCAGATTCTTTAGCAACACATGGAATTGGAAATTTTGAATTTTTATTAAGTATGATTATTTGGTATGATATATTGTTTGCTGTTAACTTAATTAGCAAATATTTACAATCTAAAGACATGCTTATTGATATTGCTATGGATCAAGTAAAAGGATTGATTAGGTTTTTTGAGGACTATAGAGAAGTTGGGTTCACACAAGCTATGACAATTGCTAAAGAAATTGCTACTGAAATGGAAATTGATTCTGTATTTCAAGTAAAACGTCAAATCCGTAGAAAAAGACAATTTGATGAGAATGTTAATGAGGAGACAACACAATCAGCTGAAGAATCTTTTAGAATCAATTATTTTTTGTATATTGTAGATCAAGCTATTGGTTCACTAAAGAAAAGGTTTGAGCAATATAAAGCATATGAAGATATTTTTGGATTTTTGTTTGGTTCAGAAAAGTTAAACTCATTAGATGATAATAATTTGAAAGCATGTTGTGATAATCTTGAAATTGTTCTAAAATATAAAACATTTTCTGATCTTGATGAGAAAGATTTTTAGTTCTTATTTGGAGAACTAAAAATCTAACGAAATATTTTACCAAAAGAAACAAAGATGGCTATTGATATACTGAATTTCTTAAAAATACGAAATTGTTTTCCAAATGCATGTATTGCTTATAGAATATTATTGACTATACCTGTTACAGTCGCATCTGCAGAAAGAAGTTTTTCAAAATTAAAATTATTAAAATCTTATTTGAGATCGACCATGTCACAAGAAAGACTAAATGGACTAGCTTTGATATCTATTGAAAATGATTTTATTGATAAAATTGATGTTAAGGGCTTAATTAGTGATTTTGCAGCTAAAAATGCAAGGAGGACAATTTTTCGATGATACTTTATATGCTAAAGGCTTCGATATCTCTTATGAAGGTAAGCACAGATACAAGAGAAACATAATATGCAAGTATTTCTTATTGTGGACTATTTGCTCTATTGGAAAGCTTTATTAATGTGGGATTACATGCATTTATCTTATCGATAATATTCAGGTGACCAAAGAGATGAAGAATGGACAATAGCACTTGAAAAGTATGTTAAAGACTATACATATGCAAAAAATCAGGTAATATTTTAATGTCTGATCAGTAATATTTTGTTCCTTAGCATTTTAGGGATTCGAATTGGAATTTATTGATATTTTGTATATAGAGAAAGGCCCTGTGTTTACTTTTCGCACAGGGCCCCTAAAATCTCAGATCCGGCCCTGGTCGTATGGTTAGCAATTTAATGCCTGAGGTTGTTTGTCATCACAATCGTTTTTGTCCTTGCCACTGCCAGCTCCACAATCACTATTGCTACCTTCAACACTAACACCAGAAGCCATCATTGTCCCTTTTGCAGTCGTCAAAATCAAAATCATTTCTTTTTAACTTGATTTCTCCATGCAATCATGCAGTAGTAGAGATCTCATTGCTCTCAGCACATAGCTTTTCACATTCAAAAGCATATTTTTCCTTTATTGCCCTCCCTACAACCATCCACTGTTAAGTATTCGAAGGGCACGATGATGCCGTACCAAGTGCAATGGATTGCAGTCCTGAGGAATATGATCCCAAGATGGATTGAGAAGGACTAAGCAATGAATTGCAGATCTAAGGAAAATATATCCACATTGATGAATTGAGGAATACTAAGCATGCTCTGCTGAACAATTAATACGACTTTTACACGGGTCTTTCATTTAATTGGTCATGTTGAAGAGTATGTAACTGCTGTTACGTATTTGTATTATCCATGTTTAGTAATGAACTTTGGAAAAAAAGGGAGGGAAAATATGTAATAAATAAGCCTAAGTGTCTGAATTAATTAATTCGGTTTCTAGCCTCTGTTCAAGACTCGTTTACCTACCAGGAAGACCTTATCACTATGCAACGAATGATAACAGATTCTATATATGTTTTAGTCAGGAGGCGCAATATCCAATGTAGAGTGCTGTGGTGTTGGGAGAGTGACTAAGGTATGATAAAACCGTAGATTTGTTCTTAAGGGAAATAATTCAGCCACCAGTTCTGTTAAGAATATTAGCTGTTTAGATAAAAACGAAAATTAGTTTGAACAGTTAATAATTATCAGATAATGATGGGTTACTATTATAACACGGATATAAGAAATAATTCAAATGAGAATAAGTAAAGGTTAGAAATACGGTCTGATGATCGAAACGTGCACAAAGCACTCTCCCAAGAATCTAAGTGCCCCCTCTCGATCAGGGCTACATGGCAATGGATCTTGGAGATACGACGACACTCGGTCAGGCGACCTCCTTCTCGTCGACACGAGCTTTAAGAAGGCTCTACGAACTGTTCACGACTTTCAGGGAACAGCGTATAACAACAAGAAAACTTTGTTATGAAGAGAAGAAAAGAAGAGAAACTCGTTTTTGATTCAATGTCAATAGCCCTCGCAGGTGTTGGTTTTTATAGAGGAAAAACAAACGTTATCCACAAATCCCGCCCATTTATTTAGCTAGTCGTTTTCATTTTCGCAGCCAAATGATTAACAAGTTTTAATTGCTTAGCTCGTTTTAATTGCTTAACACGTTTTAATTGTTCCAATTAGCAAAAAATAAAAATTTAGCAGGTTAAGAGCCCCTCAATCCGGAGCTGCATTTGTGCGCACGACACCCGAGCCCGAGCCCGGCAAGGGCGACGCGCGCATGTGTGGTGTAGAGCATAACCCTTATTTTCTTCTAGGCCTAAGAGAGAAGAGAAATGCTTATAAACACCCTTCCTTCCTATTCTATTTCCTATGTGGGACTAAACTTTCCCACTACAATGTCAAGTTTTAAGTTACATTTATTATAACTCCAACAAGTTCTAGATGTTCACAGCGTGAAATAATTTGATATACAGCATTGTTAGTAAAATCATTTAATCACCAGTTCCAGATGTTTGCAGCATGAAAAAAAAATTGATATACACCGCATCCTTGCGGTCTTGCTCGTAGTTTTGAGAAATGTAGATTAGGGTTAGGATCTATATTTCAAATGCACATGGAGCATATACAACGCGTACTTATTCTGTATTGGAAGGTTAATGAATAATATAAAAGCAAGGAGTGCTTTCAATTGACACAGCCAACCCTTGGAAGTATCAGCTGTCAATTGAACAAGATCCTCAATAATGTCTCCATAAGTCTTACTCGCTTAATTAGTTCCTTCTGGCAATAAAGCCATGGAGCCCATGGCCGTAATTAGGCAAGAACACCTCAACTCAACCAAATCTTTTAAATTAGCAGTCATCTGCTGGCTATATCTTTGAAACAAAAGCCATTACTCACCGTCAGTTACATTTTTATTGCACCGTAGCCATACACGAACATGTAGGATACATATATTTTTCACTTAGAAGAAAAGTGAATCCTTCGACATGCTAAAAGAGGCTAATTAAGGCTTCAATCCCTCTCACTAGTCGCTTGAGCAGTAGCACGTAAACGAGAAAGCAAAGCTCGGTTCTCTTCTTGAAGGTGAAGAGCTTTTTCCCGCAGCCTCTTGTTCTCCTCCATTATGCTTCTGTTCTCGCAGTAAAGCTTGAGATTCACCATCTCCAGCCCTCCTCTCACCCTTGTTCTCTTTGTTGATCTGAACTCTTTGATGCCTCTAAATTTCCTCCTATCCCGCCTGCATCATGTCTTAAACGGATCAATTGCGAAGACGAAAGCCACAAAATCTTGCACTATGATAGTATGTACAACCCCACAACTGTTTTCTTAGCACTAAAATAAATATATTAACATCCTGATCTCTAGACAAGATTATTTCTCCTATTCGGTTAAAATGCATATCACGTGAGAATCACCAGATTTTTACCTTAAATTTAACGGAGAAAAAAACTACGTTGACCCTAAATTGAGCGTAAAATATAGCAATTCGAGATTCAGTTAGAGGGCGTAAGTGCTAATAAAATACTTTAAAAAGGTATAAAGAAACAATTAAAGTATGACTTCAACAAATAGAGGCTACTTGTTGCTAGTATGATGGAACTTACCTTCTCTTCATCACTAAATCCAGTAATAGACTGGATTTAGTTTTCTGAGGTATCCCTCGGAGAAAAGAAGCTGGGTACCGTGAAGATCTTAGATTTTTGAAGCGCATACTTGAATTATGTGGATAGCTTATTAACCATATTTATAAGTAGATGGATTGGAGGCAAACATGTAGTCTCTTTATGCCATCATGAATTTCGCACGAAGGGACAAGGAGGTGTAAATTCGCAATGATTGCTGATGGAAATCATGAAGATATGCACAAATAATGCGTTCGCCCACGCTCCCTTTCTTTTTCTATGTGTATTTACATGTCAATCTCAATTTTATTGGCTATCATGTGATTTTGATATCCTTGGAACTGTTTAAATAGTTCGATAAACAATTCCTCGGTGTGATACTTTTGGTGTGAAAAAATCATATAACGAATATCCTACAAAGAAAACCAAACTGCAGAGTCGAAGGGGGGAAATTTTCCTAAAAAATAATTTGCCTGTGGGCACTCTGCGGTCCCTATATTGCAGCCTTTGCAGATAGGACACTTTAACTCCAATATCTAAAATTGAAATTTGTATCTTAGAATCTAGCACATCTTTCTTCTTGCGAATGACTAATTGGTTATTCTTATTGTTGGGGGTCGCCGACATGCCCACCTTGCCGCGGATCAAAGCGAATCACCTTGAGAGAAAAGTTCTGACTTTTATTTTCACAAAACACAAACCAATCTCAATGTTCCTGTTTAGCGATGGAAACAAGAACAGAAGTAATATATCTCAGCAAGGTAAGATATACACTCTTCTCAATATCAGATCTAGATCTGAATATTGAGGAAACCAACAAGTAATAGCCAACACACAGAAAATAATAAAGACACGAGATTTACGTGGTTCGGCAAACTTGCCTACGTCCACGAGGAGGGGTGAAGGGAGATTCCACTATGAATGAGAACATCGACGACTTGCACAACCAGCAAGCTCATCCCAAAGAGAAGAGGGTTCGGTTTTACCCAAGAAAACTGACCTCTTTCTTGTACAATCGCTCTAAGTTCTCTCTCTTTTCTCTCATAAAGATCTCACCTTTTAGATCTAAAAAAAATCTCTCTGCAGCCACCTAAAACCTCAGAAAACTCTCTGAGAAACCCTAGGAAGGATTTCCTATTTGTACCAAGGAAACATGGCCAAAATAAGACCCAAGTACCCGCTGTTCAGACCCGCACGTGACACCAAAAGGTGTCTCGCACGGGCTGGCGAGACACCTTTTGGTGTCTCACGACGCGCCGGCATACTGTTGTTCATAATTCTCCACCTCATACATCATTTGATAAACCTTAAATTTTGGACGAACACAAGAAGAATGTTGTGAGCATCACAAGAGAGATCTGAAATACCAAACCAAGCCAAAATCAGCTGCACCATTATACCATGGCTACCTACGCACCCTCTGACCAGGATCAAGTTAACCGTAGTTCTGAATAGTCTCCATATAGTCTCCACGAGTTCACAAACGCATCAATCTGGCACGTATCTCCACCAAATCACAGCCCGTATCAACGATACCCTTCAAGTACCTCAGGACCCATTTTACTGATTTCCCAATATGCATTTTTCGGATTCGCCATGAACCTGTTGACAATACTGACCGTTGTGAAATATCTGGATGTGTACACATCATTACGTATATCAAATTGTCAACTACACTAGCATAAGGTACACGCTTCATGTGTGCCTTTTCTTCCGTTGTAGTAGGAGATTATTTTCATGAGAGCCTGAAGTGTGGGGCCAATGGAGTCACCACTGACTTAGCACTTTGTATCCCAAACTTCGCGATAACCCGCTCAATGTAGCTCTTTTAACTCAAGAATAAGCGCTGATTTGTCCGCTCTCTTCTAATCTCAGTACCCAATATTTTTTTAGCAGCACTCATATCCTTCAACTCAAACTCTTTATCAAGTTAAGATTTTAACCTATTTATCCCCACCTTGCTTCTCGGAGCAATAAACTTGTCATCCACATATAAAAGAAGATAGATATAATCACCTCCACGAAACTTTCAAATGTAGACACAATAGTCATAATTACTTCTGGAGAACCCATGCTTTAGCATGAATGAGTCAAATTGTTTGTACCACTGTCGAGGAGATTGCTTGAATCCATAAAGTAATTTCCTCAAGCGGCATACATGATTCTTCTTATCTTCAACCTTGTAACCCTCAGACTGATGCTTATAGATTTCCTCCTCCAAGTCTCTGTACAAGAAGACTGTTTTGACATTGAGTTATTCTAACTCAAGATCATCATGAGAAACAATACTCAATAGCACCCGAATAGAAGTGTGTTTCACCACCGGAGAAAAATCTCATTATAGTCCACACACTCTCTTGGTGCAAACCCTTTAGCCACTAGTCTAGTCTTGTATCTTGTACCGCTAAGCTCGGAAGGATCCTCCTTTCTCTTATACACCCACTTACAACCAATAGTTTTCCTCCCTACGGGTAATGGGACTACCTCCCATGTTTGGTTCTTCCAGAGAGATTTTATTTCTTCCTTCATCGTAGCTAACCAGCTCTTACTATTCCTATCCTGAATAGCTTCTTTAAAGGTTACCGGCTTATCATCCTCCATCGAGAGTGCGTACTCAACCAAATTTACCTTCCTATAATGTTTCAGAGGTAGATCTGACCCCAGCTTCTGAACTTGCTTGTATGCTCGCCTTGGCCTAGTGGAAGCCAAACTGTCTTCGAGCTGCTGTTGTTATAATACTGTAGGGTGAAAATTTGATTCTTCCGAAGAAAGGAGTTTCGTTTGTATTTATAAGAAAGCTTATTACAAACTAACAAATCAAATGTTTACAACAGAAGCAGAGGGAAGGCCCTCTTTGTTTTTGTGTGGGGACTTTAGGTGGCTATAGGACGCTTCGCTCGATGGTCGGGTCGAGTCTGCTTCCCTTGGACCGTTTGAATGAGGTTGCTGGAGAGCTTCAGTTCGCAGTAGAAGCTCGGGGCAATGGAGTTCGGGTCTGCTTGGTTCGTCGGCGATCGGAGCCCGGAACTAGGCAGAAGTGCTGTAATGCAAGGATTTGCTAACAGCTTGGTCTCAACTCTTTTTCCTCCAAGTTTTGCGACCTCTCTTCCATCGTGCTGGAAGGGGTTTTTAAATGAAAGAAGGACAGCTTGACTTCTCCTTGAATTGTGGGATGTGACCACATCCTCTTCAGAGACGTCTCGCCGTTCCTCGATACCATGAACGGTCATTCCAGGGATTGTGTTCTATGTCCTGTCACCTACGATGGGAAGGCCCATTCTTGTATGTGAGGCAACAAACGACTGCTATCCGAGTGGATTTGACCAGCATTAATGAACCGCATTTATGAGTTCGCAGATCGATGAAGTGTCTGTCCGATCACTTGTACTGTGCGTGACCGCCCGGCGTGCTTTGAGCACGACGCTTTCTCCTTTCCGGTCAGGAGAGGCGGTGAAGTAGGTGTACAGTACTCGAGTGGGTCTAGCCAGCTTGCCGAGTGCCGGCGGATCCAGCTCTTGGCTCAGACATCCGAGGTGAGTCGCATTTATGAATGCTCAGGTTGACTCGACACCTGTCCAGTCCCTTCGCGCTGTGCGCACTGCGAGCGGCCGTTTGACGGTCCTGGGGTACTGTGCTCTCTCTCCCTTCGGGTCGAGAGAGATGGGAAGGTCCATCTCAGCACGTGGGGTAGTGGATACCCAGCTGTACTGACGGTTTTGGGGCTTGCTGGCGGATTCGACTCCGAACTCGGGCAGGCGAGTTGAGCGAAGAGCGAATTTCCGCCATCCTGATCGACCCTGACTCATGCTGGCGAGTCGACCGTTAGGCGAACCTGGACTTGAGTACAGTCGACGTCTACGCGGTTTAGGTCCGTGCCAGAGAACTGGGCGTGCGAACTCTTCTCGTAGGCAAATTTCCTGTAGACCCATAGAGGTATTTTTTACCGTCTACAAGACCCCCTTCAAAGTTTTCAGACCTGAACTGGCTTGCGTGTGGTCTGGAATACTTTGAATGAAGAAATTGTTGGCGAAGCAAGTGCCTTCGATTTCTCTTAGGATTTTTAGCAAATCCTCAGCTATCAACGGGTTTGATGTGCCTTTACCGATTACCGTTTGAATCGGGCTAGCCATACTATTCTCCTCAGTATGATGAGTTGTCGAACAGTTTCTCTTAGGCTTAATGCTAAGATTTCTGCTCTAACCCTTAGCCATCTGGGGCGTGGGTTTCAACCGTTTAAGCAAGGTCATTCTTTTGGCTTTGTTCGTAATTTTACCTTTGAGGGCGAATGCATCGTCAAGGCGAAATTAGTTTTTGAGAGCCAATTTTCGCGCGACTCGTGGGGTTATGCCCAGTATTTGCAGGCGAAACCCTTCCTTTTGTAGGCGGAACCGGATCTGACGGGAGATGAGCCACGTGTCTGCTGATAGAGCCTCGTGCTTCCCAGCTAAGACATTGGATCGTGGCGATCGTGACTTGACAGCACGATCTTCGTGCGTTTCGCCCTGCGACGTATCGTGGCCGTGGTTCTCGGACTCAACCGTCGGATTCAAACGCTAATCTCGGTCCCTTCGATGCACTGAGGGTGATCTGGGCCGTCGAATTTGATCGTGGCCCCGTTTCCTGTCCGTTAGGGTTTTCGCCTTTCGAGGGCAGTCGTGGCCACGTGGACAACTCCGCCCTTCTAAATCAGCCGTTTTCCTCCATTGGGAGTTACCGTGCTTTCAAATCTTGAAAGGGAACATCCAAGGAAAGAATTCCCGCTTCCTCTCACAATGGCTCCGAAATCCAAGAGGTGTAAAGTGAGGGGTGCAGGCCCCGGACGTTACTCCGACCGTCTCTCTGCCGGCATGCCTGCTGGTGCTCTGGAGTCGTGCCCAGGTACGTTGATGGATTCGTTGGGCGATCCCTTGCAGGCCTTAGGCGTCGGATTTAGGGAGATGAGTGTTGCTTATTTCCCCGATTTGGGGCAAAGTTTGCCCTATTTTGCCTTTAGAGGATGAGTACTGTCCCCGCGGGCGAATTCTCCAGTGGGGAGGAGACGAACCCCTTTTTCGTAAGGCGAGTTCGGCCCTTCCCATTAGAGGGGAGTGTAGTCCGTAGGGACAGACC